TCTCTGCTGCTGTTTCTGTCAATGATGTCTCTGTTGATGGTATCTGAGATGTGGATGATGTCTGCTGCTGTTTCTGTCAATGATGTCTGTCAGATGATGCCTCTGTTGATGGTATCTGAGATCTGAGATGTGGATGATGTCTCTGCTGCTGTTTCTGAGGTATGTGGATGATGTCTCTGTTGATGGTATCTGAGATGTGGATGATGTCTCTGTTGATGGTATCTGAGATGTGGATGATGTTGATGGTATCTCTGTTGATGGTATCTGAGATGTGGATGGTGTCTCTGTTGATGGTATCTGAGATGTGGATGATGTCTCTGCTGCTGTTTCTGTCAATGATGTCTCTGTTGATGGTATCTGAGATGTGGATGATGTCTCTGCTGCTGTTTCTGTCAATGATGTCTCTGTTGATGGTATCTGAGATGATGTGGTGTCTCTGTTGATGTGGATGATGTCTGCTGATGGTTCTGTCAATGATGCCTCTGTTGATGGTATCTGAGATGTGGATGATGTCTCTGCTGCTGTTTCTGTCAATGATGCCTCTGTTGATGGTATCTGAGATGTGGATGATGTCTCTGCTGCTGTTTCTGTCAATGATGTCCCTGTTGATGGTATCTGAGATGTGGATGGTGTCTCTGCTGCTGTTTCTGCCTCAGCTGTGGATGGTATCTCTGATGTGTCTTCAAGCAAATTAAAGTACTCTTCTTTAGTCAACAAGATTGACTTTGAATCGGACTGTGGTCTACTCAGGAGATGTTCACGAAATGCAGACTCCAGGTTGATAACAAGAATGAATGTCAAGTCTCGTAAGAAAATACTTGCATTTTATAGCATTTCTTAGGAAGCCTGTGCTCTAAGGAAGAATCATTTCTAGGGAAGCCTTTGCTTTAAGGACAATTGGATTAATCTAAACTATAAACATTACTTTATTAAAAGAAGCCTCAGTGATCACAGAACGAAACCCATGCTAATCTTGTCTTCTCAATAATCCCTGTTCAACAATCAGTCAATCTGTACAATAATTGGGTTAATTAATCAGGCAATGTACACAATGCCTGGAATTTTGAGACAATGTACACACTGACTGGTTATTTCAGTCATTGTACACATTGCCTGATTGTAGACATTGACTGCAACATATACTAAGCAGCAAAAGAAACATCAGTTTGGAATTTTCCTTTGCAGAAACGGATAACTGTAAACTCATTTAATGTTTTGATTGTATATTGTTGACAACATCTCCAACTTTACCTGAGCAAAGACATTCCTTCCAAAACTCAGAATGGAACCCAGGAAATGGTCTCAAAAACGCAACCTGATCTCGGAGATGGTACGGTGTTCTCCATGTTTTTCATGCAACATGCTTCACGTGCTGTTCAAAAGGACCAGCCCCATAAAATGCACCCCCAAACCTGGTTGAAACATTCACATTACAACGTCAGCAGGATGCCGCGACTCACGAAAGCTGAGGGGAACCAGGCGCTAGGAAGATTTTAAGCTGGCCACACTGCACAAGCCGTTGCCAATCACTTCCAGGTCAACGTTCGGACCATCTACAGGCTGCAGCAACGTTTCCGGGCCACCAACACCACAAATGATCGCCCCCGTACTGGCAGACCAAGGGTGACCACAAGACGACAAGACCGCCATGTTGTGCGACAACATGTACAGAATCCCTTCATGCAGGCATCCGAAAGCACGCCGGACAGTGGGAAGACACGGAAGACCAATCAGTGCTGATACAGTACGCCGACGTCTTAACAGCGGGAACGTCCATTGGTGTAGACCTTACCGTGGAACGAACCTCACCCCTTGTCATCGGCGTGAACGTCTACAGTTTGCCCTTCAACATCAAAACTGGCGATACAGGCAATGGAGAACTGTTATGTTCACAGAGGAGAGTCGGTACTGCGTATCAACTGCGCAGATGGCAGAACAAGAATATGGCGACGACGTGGCCAGCGTTACTCAGACCAATGTGTTTTGGAAAGAGACTCATGGGGAGGTGCAAGCATCATGGTATGGGGTGGAATAGGCCTGAACCAGAGAGTGGGTCCTGTGGTGTTCTAGAATCTTGGTCCAGGGAGAGAAGCCAGCATCACAGCGGTGCGCTACATCGACCAAGCTCTTAGACCCCACGTCATACCACATTTCGCACGTCACCGGAACAACATTTTCCAGCATGATAACGCCCGGGCCCATACTGCCAGAGCTTCACGGGACTTCCTACAGCAGAACGGTGTCAACATTATGCAGTGGCCAGCCCTTAGTCCTGATTTAATCCCAATTGAGCATCTTTGGGATGAAATTCAGAGGAGACTGAATAATGTCATACTCAGGCAGAACACAGCCGATTTATTGCGCCAGGCCTTTCTCAGAGTGTGGTTCCAGGTGACAATGGCCTTCATCAATCGATTGGTGCACTCCATGCATAGACGCTGTGCTGCAGTTATTGCCGCTCGTGGTGGTCACACTAGATACTGAAGTCAAGAGTCTGAATGGACTGCAAACGTTCACGTAATGTCTTGAAATTGTGCTGAGTTATTCATTGATGTGTCAAGATATTATACACAAAAATGTTTTTGATCCGCTTATTATGTCTATTTCTGTAATGATTTGATCACAGTGCCTATCTAATTTTGAATTCCTACTGACGTTTTTTTTTGCTGCTGAGTATATATACCCGTCGGGGTCCAATCGTAGCTCAAATCGTGATCACCCTCGATGGTGATCGTGAAGGACATAGCGACCACAATCGCAACAGAGCGCATCGGTTCGTATCTGAACGTACCTGCACGTACCAGATCGTCCCAAATCGAGGACCCCGATTTCAAAAGATTTTAAGCAATGATTAATTATTCTAGGCCTTTCCAAGAAGTTTTTAGCACACGTGGGGTATTTCCAAACTAGACACATCAATGTCAAAATTATGCCCACATCCCTATTTCAGCCTGCACATTATGTTTCATGTTTGTGCATTTAGGTGAACATTTGACTTAGCTTTGCATGAATTTGACATGGGTGAACCCGTAGGTTTAGGTCATAACATGCTTGCCATCTCAAGTTTGACTTACCGTTGTTGGGTCTGTGGTCTCACTGAATAACTTGTGACGTGTTTAACGTACGGGCACGTGATCCAGTAGTGTTAACTCTTTAAATTTCTCGAGTGATATTTTTAATTCCTACAATGATTCAATTGTATCTGACTGGCACTTGTAACATAAAGAGTTAATGACGATTTGTCAGTTGCAAGTAGTTGAGATTTCCTATGATAATTGAAAAGGTTTCGTTGAATAACACAAGTCAACATCTTTTTCGTTGATACTAAACCTTCTGAAACATATTATATAATATGATTGACAGGAACATATTTCAATTACTTATTGTCAACGTGAGAAATCTCACACCACAGGCGTTCATACCTGGTATATATTAATACATTCAACTTTGTTTACAAATACTTAAGTTGAGGCATGAATGTTACAACACGCATCTAAAGCTATGTAGGCCACAAGACTCATTCATGACCATAGACATTGCTGCGCATTGAATAACGACGGTGTATAATCACAATTACAAAGGATACACGCATGGGTAAAACCCAGTGATGTGCTCGGTCTTGAGTGTTGCGAATGCCACACTGCACTACATTCAAGACCACGACGTCGTGATGTTGGGCAGATACTACTGACAAACATTGAAGGATTACTCCCGTCCTCCTGTAGTCTACTGGGATTCTGTTTCAAATTACTACATGAAATGCTTCGGCCATTAAATAAACATGAAATTTTCACCTGATGAAGGAGTAAAGCTATATTCCGTAACGTTGTGTTCCTCAGCAACAATCCATTTCAATGTCACATATGTTCTCGTCACAATATGGCTGAAATATTGCCGATGTGACGTTAAATAATAACTCACTCACTCACTCACTCCTCAACAACAAAGACGTTGACATACCATCTTTTGAAATTTCTCGCGATGGAAACCATTATGGGTCGATCGTAGAGAGAAGGTAGCTGATTGTCAGTGTAAATCTGATCACAAACAATGTATCTGTTCTGTAGCCTAATGGTTAAAGCGTCCGCTCCTCACGCTGTAGTGAGTGAGTGAGTGAGTTTAGTTGTACGCCGCACTCAGCAATATTCCAGCTATATGGCGGGGGTCTGTAAATAATCGAGACTGGACCAGACAGCCCAGTGATAAACAACATGAGCATCAATCTGCACAATTAGGAACCTATGACATTTGTCAACCAGGTCAGTGAGCCTGACCACCCGATCCCGTTAGTCGCCTCTTACGACAAGCATGGGTTACTGAAGATCAATATTCTAACCCGGACCTTCACGAGTACGTCACGCTGTAGACCCGGGTTCGACCCCCCACATGGGTACAATGTGTGAAGTCTATTTCTGGTGTCCCCAGCCTTGATGTTACTGGAATATTGCTAATTGCGACGTAAAATCATACTCACTCATTGTCACACAAACGTCTTACCAACATGTCTAATATTACGTGCAAGCTAATACAACTAGTTGATTGTTTTCACTTCATCAGCTATTTGTTTTATGTGTACGAAGCGTTTCGCTTTCAGCAATATTCCAGCAATAACACCAGAAATGGGCTTCACACATTGTATCCATCTGGGGAATCGAACCCGGGTCTTCGGCGTGACGAGCCATATATTTAACCACTAGGCTACCCCATCGCCATACATCGAAGATGAATTTCTCCACTAACTTATGCAGATGAATTGCACGAGGATCATGCACGAAATTGCTGTAATCATGTGCAAATATCGTGCATGTAAGAAAACGTTATGAAGTTGTTTTACAATACATGTACATCAGCTGATGTGTAAACAGTACCTTTAAACAGTATGGAATATTTTGCAAAATGTAGTTTAGAAGAGTTACCTGAAGTTGAGTCTCAACCTTTGATGGGTAGTATAGTTTGTTAGATTAGGACAGTACACGCCAGCCATCTCAAGTTTGACTTACCGTTGTGTCTGTGGTCTCGCTGAATAACGTGTGACGTGTTTAGCGTGCGGGCACGTGATCCAGTAGTGTTAACTCTTTAAACTGATTTATTTATGATGATAAAGCAAGTATTGGTAAATATGGTTCTTTATAACTTTAACAAGGTGAGTGAGTTCAGAAAACAGTATTGTAATTAGGTCTCCAATTTCTCGAGTGATAGGTCTAACTCCTACAACGATTCAAATGTATCTGGCTGGCACTTGTCACACAAAGAGTAAATGACGATTAGTCAGTTTGGAGGTAGAGCTTTCTTATGACTATTGAAAAGGTTTTGTTGAATTCCACAAGTCAATCTCTTTTTCATTGATACTAAACCTTCTGAAACATATTATAGAAAATGTGACTGACAGGAACATATTTTAATTACTTATTGTCAAAGTGGGAAAACTGACATCAGAGACGTCCATACTTTGTATATATAAATAGTAATACAAACAACAGTGTTTGTTTACAAATACTTATGTTTGTTGAGGCATGAATGTTATATCATGTACTTTATATAGGGCACAGCAGGCATTCATGGTCCTAGCTTTTGTTGCGTACTAAACATTAATAGCCTACTTAAAATATCATATTTACAATGGATACATGCATGTGTTCGGACTAGGATGTTGAGAAATGTCACACTGCACTACACTCAAGACCATGACGTCGTGAAAGTGACGATCCAGGCACGATTGTAATTTGAGCCGATACCGCTGTAAAACATTGAAGGATTATATATAGCTGAAATAACTCTGGATGCCTATCCACAAGGCGTTCGTAGTGCTACGATATCATTCGTACGCCTATTAAAAACCTGTGGCCGTATGCATATGTCGGGCGTAAATTCTAGTAAAATGTACGCCCGGACGTAACGTAAACCGGTATGCACATATTAGAAGTTAAAGTTACGCCAGTCGTAGCGCTCTATATTTACGCCACCTACCCAGCAGGCGTAAGCCAGGCGTAGCCCTGTCATGGCGGCACTGGATGCCGAGGTTTTTTTCATGCGCAGATTTTCATACGGTTTGAAAAGTGAACGTTGTGCGTGAATTCATTTCGCGTGGTCCTGGATCTACGTACGGCTATAAAATTACACAGAAATGTAGAATATTAAATTTCCAATCCGTTGGTATAAATATAAGTGCAACTACCTCGGCGGTTTGAGAAATAGACCTTGCTAAATGTTGTCCACATTTTTGTTATGCAGTAAATTACTCCGCTTTTTATCGCGTACAGATGAAAGCACTATGCTACGAAGTTTTTAATGTGGCATCTTGACAGAAAGTGTGAGCGAAGGAAATACAGCCTGATATCTGAACGACATAAGTGTATATGAATTGGGTTAATGTGCTTATGCATAACGTTATACGCACAACATTAAAAATGACTCGCAATAAATGTCAAAATTTGATTTTCTCCTATGACGTCAAACGAAGACAGAGAGGTCATACGCTTATAATGATAAGGGGGCATAACTCCGTTATGCTTAAAAACTGTAGAGCTACGACAGGCCGTAACGTTACGAACGCTTTGTGATTCTTGACCCTGTACATATGGGGTACGGTCCAGAATCTCTAGCGTGTGTTACCCTTTGAGACTATATCAAATCATGTTATGATCTTATGTAAACCAGAAAAACTTTGTGAGCAAGCACACGTCCAAATAAGATGATAATATGGTGAACATGGGATTCTGTTTCAAATTACTACATGAAATGCTTCCGCCATTAAGTAAACTTGAAAGTTTCACCAGATGAGGGAGTGAAACAATATTCAGTAACGTCGTGTTCCTCAACAACAAAGACGTTGACGTCCATAAATTCTCGCGCCTTTTGAAATTTCTCGCTATTGAAACAATTATCCGACGATTGTAGGGAGAAGGTAGTTCACAAACCTGATCACAAACAATGTATCTGTTCTGTTCCGTCAGTTGTCCTCTGCTATGCAAAAATAATAACATCGTATTTCTATATTTTATGGCGAGGTGTAGACAGCATGACCTTAACTAAGACGTCACAGACTACCCCTGTTTGATGAGGTCTTAAAATGATTCTGGCTCACTGGTTACACCTGTTATGTGTCCTTTGCGCTTATTTAATGTAGTTTTATAACGCACAATGTGATTGATTCAATATCAAGGCCGTACTAGACCGCCAAACTTTTCTAGCGGCAGAGCCTCGTTTTGAGATTTCCTCGATTTCCGTCTGTCAGAGCACGCTGTACGACAGAGCACGCTGCACGACGTGTTTGTAAGGATTAGAAGGAGCGTGGTGTTGCAATATACAAGTGCTTAGATGTATCAAATAACACTGATTAATATTTATGTATCCAGTTGAATGAAAATTCAGGGACTGATTATTGTACTAAGTTGCGCAATAGGACGAAACCCAGTCAGCAGGAAACGAGACTGTTGTGTAATCAATGTTTTGACTTGTCCCACACAGAGTTAATGGCGGTTCTTCAGTTTGTTCATCGTTGCATGGTCACCAGTTGAATACTGACAAATTTATGGATAACAGCTTATATTTGGTGAGTGCGACCTTTCCTGTACCGTTGTCGAGTGAGTGAGTGAGTGAGTGAGTGAGTGAAGTTTTACGCCGCATTTAGTAATATTTCAGCAATATCACGGTGGGGGACACGGGTATATATCATACAGAGGAGGGGTGTATGTAACAACACAAACAACATGACTGGCTAGGCAGTAGGGTTTGGGGCTACACCATCATGTTCTTGACACGGACGAATGAATTACAGCGCAGGAGACAAAAAAACACACACACACACACACACACACACACACACACACACACACACACAGACAGACAGACAGACAGACACAGACACACACACACACACACACACACACACACACACACACACACAAAAAAAAACAACAAAACAAAACAAAACACACACCCAAAACTAACCTAAAAGTAATAAACGAAATAATAAATAGTACTCAGATCTACATACCTTAGGGGAAAAGGTACAGTTCATATGGATCCCTGTCCAAGTCGGATGGTTAGCTTAATCAAAAGCTTAAAAGGAAATAAAAAGCCTATCAAAACAAAAAAAATCCAAAAGTGGCAAAATAAATACCAAAATTCTAAACAAACAAAACTGACAGAAAACATATTAACAGTGTCCAAATTGATACTTTATGGGGACAGACTGTCATTTATTACCATGCTATCATTATATGTGTTTATGACCCAAAGGAGATCCGGGAGAGAACAGACTCTTCAGCAACCAATGCTTGTTGTAAGCGGTGACGAAGGGCCGGAACACTGTAGCAGCGAAGGGCAGCCCAGCCTGCCAGCAAAAGAAAAATAACGCTCCTAGAGATGGTGTTACAGGCATCCATCAGGACACCAACAGTTGAGAGTTCGTGTTACAGTCATCCATTAGGACACCGACGGTTGAGACATGGTGTTACAGGCATCCATCATGACACCGACAGTTGAGAGATGGTGTTACACTCATCCATTACGACACCAACAGTTAAGAGATGGTGTTACAGGCATCAATCAGGACACCAACAGTTAAGAGATGGTGTTACAGGCATCAATCAGGACACCAACAGTTAAGAGATGGTGTTACAGGCATCCATCATGACACCGACAGTTGAGAGATGGTGTTACAGGCATCCATCATGACACCGACAGTTGAGAGATGGTGTTACAGGCATCCATCATGACACCGACAGTTGAGAGATGGTGTTACAGTCGTCCATCAGGAGACTGACAGTTGAGAGATGGTGTTGGAGACATTCATTATGACAGCGATGTTGAGAGTTGGTGTTACAGTCATCCATCAGGACACCAACAGTTGAGAGGTGGTGTTACAGACATCCATCAGGACACCGACAGTTGAGAGATGGTGTTACAGTCATCCATCAGGACACCAACAGTTGAGAGATGGTGTTACAGTCATCCATCAGGACACCGACGGTTGAGAGATGGTGTTACAGTCATCCAGCAGGACACCAACAGTTGAGAGATGGTGTTACAGTCATCCAGCAGGACACCAATAGTTGAGAGTTGGTGTAATAGGCATCCAGCAGGACACCAACAGTTGAGAGATGGTGTTACAGTCATCCATCAGGACACCAACAGTTGAGAGATGGTGTTACAGTCGTCCATCAGGAGACTGACAGTTGAGAGATGGTGTTGGAGACATTCATTATGACAGCGATGTTGAGAGTTGGTGTTACAGTCATCCATCAGGACACCAACAGTTGAGAGGTTGTGTTACAGTCATCCATCAGGACACCAACAGTTGAGAGATGGTGTTACAGTCATCCATCAGGACACCAACAGTTGAGAGATGGTGTTGGAGACATTCATTATGACAGCGATGTTGAGAGTTGGTGTTACTGTTATCTATACATCTACCCCAAACTTTGAGCAGAGGCCCAGTTCTCTCTCCAAATATGTGAATCCCATTCATGGTGTCCCACGGTGCACCAGTTGGAATACTACATAAGACCATACTCACTCACTCCAGGCCTTGCTGCTGCTTTTATTGATTAACACCCAATATATTACATACCAGCAATAGGACAGCGGAATATATATAATCAAATCTTGATCAGAGTGAGTGAGTGAGTGAGTTTAGTTGTACTCCGCTTTTAGCAATATTCCAGCTATATCACGGCGGGGGACACCAGAAATGGGCTTCACATATTGTACCAATGTGGGGAATCGAACCCGGGTCTTCGGCGTGACGAACAGACGCTTTAACCACTACGCCACCCCACCGCCCCAATCTGGATCAGACGATCCATCGATTGATATAGCAAAGAATCCACACTGTCTGGGTACGATATCCTATTATGCCCCAAATCTGACCACATGATCCACTTGGTCACCTGGAAGATCAGCTTAGGCAACCACGGACGTCTACTAGCCAAGGATCCCACAAGTTTTGATTAGCAAATAATACACCATATAAAAAAGAAACAATAAAAGAATAAAATAAATAAATAATAATAATAATAAAAAAAGGCGTTCATCATGAACCCGGTTTTGATTCCCCAGTTCCCCATTTCTGGTGTCCTCCGATGTGATATTGCTGGAATATTGCTAAAAGCGGTGTAAAACTAAACTCACTTATCTGAATTGTCAACACCAATTACCTTTTGCGAATCAGTATATATGTGTTAACGATTTGAATTCGGGAATGTATGCTCCTTGTACTATCGGCTTTGAAAGATGTTGCCATAGATAATTATCAAATTTACATATGATTCAAAATATAATTTTTTCAGTTGAAAATTAGGTTTCATATAAAATAATCAATTTCCTGTATAAGTTTACTTGAACTTAACATAAATACAGGAATAAAGATTAAAAAAACTTAATAATAAAAAAATAAAAATATAATTATACACTAGATTTCCAATGTGCTTTCTATAACTTGTGAGCATTTATGAAAAAAAGCTGCCTATGACTTTTTGCGGTGACTTCATTTTGTTTGTAGCGCCATGTGCAAGTACTGGAGTTTGGCGCAGTATATGTGCACATATCATTATTATTATTATTGTGTCTTTATTCACAGAATCACCAACTTATAATAATAATAATAATGTGTCCATTTATATAGCGCCAAACTCCACACTAGGGTATGCTCATAGCGCTAACAATCAAGGCACAGCACATTATTACCCCGGATAACCCAAGCTGCCTGTTAAGCGCAAGAAGGTTATAGTCATATGACTTTTTCCACCGGGTACCCATTTTCCTGCTGGGTGAACAAACTCACTTGCCTAAGGTGAGACCACATGTGTCACATGTGCTTCGTTGTGGGGCAGGACTCAAGTCCTAGAAACTCTCAGGAGTCAAGTTGCCAAACACTGTCACCCATCCAAGGACTCTCCGAGCTAGACGCTGCTTAACTTCACCGATTTGTGACCTGAGCTTTGAGCACAGGACCACTCCAATGAAAACATCACCATGAAATACTGAAAGGACATTTATTCATGTTGGCAAATGATACAACAGCACATCAACATTGCACAGTTTTGTAATAAATAAATAAACAGGAAAAATTGCATACATCTACACCATCCCAGAAGCTGGTTCACTCCAAGAATACAGACCACAGTAGAAATAGATAAGTAGCCCAAATATGCATACCTCATATGTAATACCCATATATATCCTTAACAAGTAACAGGGTTACTCTGTGGTACTCTATGAACTATTCGGTCAATATGACAAAATAACCACACTTCTCTCAACCAATCACACAGAGTCTAGTTATGTTGTAACAAATACATTTTCTATCAGTTAATCCCAGATATGTTTCATACCATATATACCTCCCACTGACATCTAAACTGACATAATTATGTCTAATTATGGGAGACTAAAATCGTTAATAATAACTATGGTTTCTTCAGTGGGAATATTGCCGAGCGTGGGGTTAAAAATATAAAAATGAAATAATGCCTAAACTTCGATAGATACGTACAAAGCTATGCTTCCTTCAGCTAGAAAATATTGCGGAGTGGGGTGATAGAAAACATTAGATTGAAATAATGCCAGAACTTTAACAAATAAGTAAATATGCCCATACTTTAACAACTAGTCCAATGAGGTATGAATAAATGGGCTACATAGAGATCCGCAGGCAGAGCCAGGCTTTGTCATGCTGTACAGGTTCTATATACGTACTACTCCTCACCACCAGCATACTGCTCCAAGCTGCTTAGCCTCACAGGACTGTTATGTCAAATATACCACAGCCGGAAAAGCGAGTACACTTTGAAAGATTCGTAAAGATGGCATACTGGATGGGAACTACAGCACATAAGTTGACAAGCAATTAGAAAATAATACAGACGGCCTCTACTGATTGTGTACATCATAGATCAAATGGTAATTGTCTGCAGGTATTGAACCCTGTAACATGATCGCAAGCAAGTGATTCCTAAAAGATGGCCAATCACACAGAAGATGTCTAAGATATTTTACACTGTTGACATTCAGGCGAAGACTTGTCAGTTCATCTCTGACACAATGTCGACGCCTGGGCAGTCTTCACTGTTGCTATCACTGCTGGAACAGAATATGTCTGGATATATCAAAACATCTAGACACTGAAAGCTTGTACTAGTCACAGAATACCATGTTTCCTCTGTTGAAAGTCAGGACACCCCATATGGGTTCAATTAGTGAAGCATATTTCTGGTGTCCCCTGCCGTGACATTGCTGGAATTTGCAAAAAAACGGCATAAAACCCAACTCGTTCACTGAAAACCAGGACCAGTGGTAAGGCTTCAAGTACCGGGCCTCGTTGCTATCTCATCACAAAGGTTTTCCTAACTCCCATACTCTAACATAGACTTATGGTTGTCATAGCGATCTGCCCATATTAACTACTGATACTGATTTTATCATTTCACAATAACTACATAAAGTTCATTAAACAAATCCATCATCCAGTGTATGAAATACTACGCTGAAAAGAAAGGATGTTTTTCTTTCAGATAATCCAATTTGTTTGTACTTCAGTAGGTTATCGGGTAAATAAAAACATCAAAACAATAAGAACTCAAATCTTCAGTGGCATTTTAATAATGAACTAATATTATCACTTCTCAGAGAGTATGCAATAACTATTCTAATTATAGATCAATCGTGCATAGTCTCAGTTATTCATTCAGTCAAGTGGAAAAGAAAATCTGGGCTGGCAACATTTAAACAAGACCAGCAAATAATTAGACTTGGTATAAATGTAAACTGAAATGAATAAGTGTCCTGGCTTTTAATAGAGGAAATATGGTACCTTTCCAAAGGGGAACCATTGCAGTTGTTCTACCATGGTGTTCAATCACCATCCCTTTGTCTGCCATTTTAGCATGTAAACGTGAATACTTGAAAATACACTGCGTACAGCACAATCTTCAGATTGACATGAATGTATACCACTCAACAAGTTAAGGACACCATCAGTTTGAAGGCTGTGTTGCAATACCCAGAATAACTCTACCTTCATTTGAGTGGTATATTTGAGTGAGTGAGTGAGTTTAGTTTTACGCCGCACTCAGCAATATTCCAGCTATATGACGCCGGTCTGTAAATAATCGAGTCTGGACCAGACAATCCAGTGATCAACAGTATGAGCATCGATCTGCGCAATTGGGAACCGATGACATGTGTCAACCAAGTCAGCAAGCTTGACCACCCGATCCCGTTAGTCGCCTCTTACGACAAGCATGGGTTAATGAAGATCAATATTCTAACCCGGACCTTCACGGGTCCTAATATATATGACAGATAATAATCTTTGTCTTAAAGCACTGTCGCATCTCTCACAGTTGAAATACATATGTTATAAATGTTTATAAAGACTTTCCTGTACATTAACTGGTATTAACTATGAATAAGAAGTAAATAAGTTATGGAATTAAGACAATTATCAATAGAGCAATACATCAAATTTTTTCCAAAAAGCACTGTCAAATGTCTTTGGGGTCTGTACAACAGCAATTTGTACACACCTAATATTCAATATGAACTTTCACACTGTACAAATATTTATAACATATCACATGTGTGAGGGTCACACATCCAATATAATGCAGTCGTAGCATATACACAAGTCTCTTCAATATACACCAGGTCCACACAGCATTTGCCTGTATTTTCTTGTGGTCTGCCAGCAGACTCAAGTTCTCTCCCTTTAATCCTCAGCAAGTGGACCAGCCACACAGGTCAAAGGTCAGTAAGTCACATGATCTTGCCACTTTGAAGGTCACTTCCATCTGTTTAAGTCATGATTGTACAACTCCAATAAACATACATCCTTTCATTGCATATGTGTGAAGTCTAAGCCTTCTATAAGCAACTGCCTCATGTGCAATATTAGATGGACTGGCAATCATCTTGCATGAACCAAGACTGAGCTATTGTCATGATCTCACATCACTGTCTTTTGATATCACCTAACATGTGAATATATAACTAACCCTTGTGGCATGATCTCACATCATTGTCTTTTGAAATCACCTAACATGTGAATAAATAACTAACCCTTGTTGACCATCTTACATTTTCTTGACAAATCTCGGACTTAAAACACAAGACATCTATACTACTCAAATAAGACAACCCAATTCTTTCATATTTCCGGAGATATTCTGCGACAGAATGACATAAAACTACAGTCATATGAAGACTGGTCCCCTTTTTGAGAAGAATATGGTGCATATGAAAATAAATGCTGACCATGTGTGAATCAATAAACTCAAAATACAAAGCCATATTACTCTGTGGACGTCAGGGATCATTACTTGACCAGACAGACTCAGCTGGGACGTCCTACATGTAGATTCCATGACATGTCTCAGTCTCGAAAACACAAGTGGTATACATGTATAATTCTTGGTTCAAAATACAGTCACATAAATCCACTGGGATTTCAGTTCTGGTTGACAGTTCACAGAATGAAGCCAAGAACTTGAACAGGTACTGAAGCTCACTGTCACAAGTTTGTCTAAAATTTCAATAGGCCAGTGATCTTAAGCCTTCTACATCCAGTTAACTGCGTATTGTTTAAATGCTTTTAATGATGGGATAGACCTTCTGACTAATTATGCCCATAAAACAATGATTGTGCAAGAGCAAATGTCATTAATATATTTTCAAAATTTCAGCAAATTTTCATAGGACACACCTATGGTATTACCTAACTGGGCTGATCTCTACAGGATATTTTGTAAAACAATCAGTCTCCATGAAAATGACAAAAAAGCTGTACAAACCGATGTTTTCATGTCATGTCATGGCCATTATCATGCTCATTATGGCTCATTATGCTTCATTAAGTCATAATTAGTCTTTATTCTTTTTCCCTTGGTTTATGGATAGATGGCTGTAGATGACTTTGTCAATAAAAGCAAAAAGGATTTTTCTATTGATGTAACGAAACTTTCCAGTGATTAATTCTTGTCATCACCCACCTGTCAAGTCAATCGATCATGACACAATATCCAGCCACATCTAATTACACATGAGGATCTTGAACAGAATCAGGTTAATTGGCAGTCATAGTTAGTTTGATCATCAATACAATGTGATTTGATTATCTCAACTTCAGTTGTGAACATCAAGCTGTAGCCTAACAAACACAAGACTGACTCAGGTTCACACAGGCACTACCTACAACTTCTACATATCTGGCATTACAATTTGGAACATCGTTCCATTTTAAAACAACATTTGTTACAAATGTGCTTTGAATGTTCTCCCAGAGGTACATACCAAAAGCAAAACTAGCAAATTTGAACTAAAAATCCACTCAATATGAAATGATTCATTAAAGCTATTTATATATCTCTTGGTTTCGGTAGATGGAATAAACATAAAGATGAAAAAACAAAAAAACAAAAATAAATAAAAATATTTTTTCTCTCCAAAACTTAAATTCCAAAGTGGTTCAGCTGATCTCACAAGTCCTGCAGAATTGTTAGTGTATGTACAATAGACCTGCAAGACGCCTACACACTGGTTGATCATGAAAACCTTGATACAGACTAACGCCAAATGACCAAATTTTATTAAACAGTATCGCCTTTCTAATGGCGTTAGAAAGTCGCTTTCTCATATCCAACTTGACAACGGGAATAAGTTATACATTAATCATAAACAGTCTTGTATCCCATCCTATCCACTCCTGATACCCTGTGGTGAACCACTAGTTGCATTAACGAATCAACAAATATAATTATCTTCAATTCATTATGCATATATATCTAGAGTTTGTTGTCATAATCCCTGCAGAAACAGCCAAAGTTACAACAACAGATATGGCAGCTTTTACACATGTAATCACACACACTCGTCATTGGCAAAATTGCATAAACTAATTTAATATCTTTGACACAACAGTTATTAAATCTCGATACTGTAACATCCAGGTATTGTTGTGAAGCGCCATCTGGGGCTTGGTGCGATGCAGGCAATAGGCCGGATATAGATATGGCAGCCAATGTTAAACTTATTAAACTCTATATTCCTTTCAGAGGAGCTGAAAGTCTATACACTGCCCCCTGGTGATAACCTCTTCAAACAGGGGCAGATAACTCTGACCTGCTGAAGGTCAATATTCTACGGCCTTGTGGTCCTCTCCCAGAAGAATGGCTAAAGGTCAATCTGCTCCCGCCTTGTGACGACCTTTCTACACAAGGGCAGATAACCCAAGCGGCTATCTAAAGGTCAGTACACTGCAACCCTGGCGGCAATCTATCCAATCGGGGGCAGATTAAAGTCTCCAGGCGGCAAGTGTCTGCAATGCACTCTATCTAAAGTCAAACTCATTTCAACATGAACAGATACACATTTTGGTATTCAGTGGTAGAAACAAATTTAACAATCCAACAATGATATGAATGCTGTAAATGACAGAGGCCACAAATATCCAATTGATATATCAAGATTTCTATACAAGATGTTCAAATTCTGAATCAAAATCACAGCAAAACATTCACTACTTCCTTGCAATTCACTGCAGATATCCAGAAAACTGTGTTTGTCTCTGGCTTGAACTACCTGCCATAATATCCGAATTCGACACTTTGATTTCTCCTTGCAATGTCAATCAGTTGAGACTTGTAAGACGAGATGTAGTAGAGTGATGGTAGCTTGTCCATGTATCAAACTTAAGATGTACCTCCACACATCAAAACAATTCACACACCAAGTAGCTGATTGGTTAGGGTCAATGTCCTGGGATATACCAGGCATTGTTAATTTGTTTGCAGGTTTAAGTTGGAGAAAAAAACAAAGTTGATACAGGTCGTGGCTATTTACCACTTTCGTGAAAACCCCATCAACACATATGGTCGCAAAAGACCACATATGGTCACAAGACCAAGGATTATAAATGGATGAATTCAGGATTCAATCCAGAGCCAGTGGATTCTGGCTTCAAGGGGACACAACTCTGCCTCAGACCATGTATACCCCTCCAAACACACTTTGTCAAAATTCAACAAGGTATAATGCATTGAGAGGCGTAAGTCTTCACGTCAATGCTCAACACGACAGTAGACCTACAGGTGCTCCACCTGTTTGTAGACTCCTATACTGAAACATAGGCCCAGTCCAGCTCTGCATTTACCAATCACCCAATGCTGGGTCACATTGTCCAGTGAAAGTGGCATTGCTACAAGGCAATGGAGATGGTGGAGTCGTATAGTATCACACATGTGCCGTCTGCTTCACTGCATTGTGAAAAATCCACCTGTCGTGGAAAGCCTCCTATGAAAATCGCATCACTGTCGCTCCATACCTGGACTGACCATGTTGAGAGTCCTGCTACTTCCTCTTTGAGCAACACCACACAGAAGACTGACTGGACATGCAAAGTCTTCAATAACAGCGGATCCTTACAGCTTCACACAGTCAACTGCCATAGGTTGTTCACAGTCCACAATTATGCCGATAGTCCTGTCAAGTCTTATTAAAGTGGTACTGTCGTGAGTCCAGAGGAAAGACAGACATTTTCTACTTGAAAACTTAAGTCTTGACAGGGCACAAGGACATCAATATGAAGAATCTCATTGAGTTTCGATCAGTGTTCTTGTCTCTCTCTTGGGTTTTCACTGTCCTAGGATTTGGTCATGTGTTAGTCGGTTTCCACCTTCTTTCTCCCTCCCCTTGGTTTTATTTTCTCTGATATTTGCCACAAAAGCTCTTCAGATAAATAATCATCAAACTTCGTTGATGATTGACAATATTTTTTCACTCTTCTTGAATTCATAGTTGCTGTAAAAAGAATGAAAATATCTCTGTTACTTGACAAAGAATAACACAATCAATTATTGAAAAGTTTCATTGTTTTCACACTGATATTTTGATAACAAAAGTATTAATAATACGTCAACTCTGCTTCCATGAAAGTGGTGGAAATTATTTATAGTTTCAGGGTCATAAAATGAACACAAGAGGTTAATTGTCATGTTTGTTGACACATGCTGACCTCACTTCAAAAGTTAAGTGAAATTCAATACTGTGTGAGGTATAAAAACTGTTGTCCGAACTAAACAATGAGATGCAAATTAAGTGACAATGTGACACTTCATGCCATGTTCATCAATGTCAAAATAAGAAATCAACCTCTAAAATTAATCAGACTCGATTATTTTCAGACCGCGGCCATATAGCTGGAATATTGCTGATTGCGCCTCTAATAACAAACAAAACTAAATAAATCAGACCTGTAAAGATTAACACAGACTCAGCCCAAACATATTGACCCTAAATCTACACAAATTCGGCTGAAGATCACATACCACTTCTTGAATCGGCGCATGCTGTCGAGGATGTTGAACTGCTGCCAACGCTTGGAGAAGTTGATGCTGTGGTCAGGCAGCAGGTCCTGGTTGCCGATGTTGATGAAGGTCAGGTCTTGTAGAATTAGCCCTCTGTAGGAAAACAGACATGTACGTATACTTTAATGAGTGAGTGAGTGAGTGAGTATATCAGGTTTTATGCCGCTTTTAGCAACATTCCAGTAATATCACGGTGGGGTACACCAGAAATGGGCTTCACACATTGTACCCATGTAGGGAATCGAACCCGGGTCTTCAGTGTGCCGAGTGAACACTTTAACCGTTAGGCTACCCCACCACCCTGACTAGTTTAATGATATTTTCAACATTACTGAAGTGATATCATGGCTGTGGATAGCCAAACATAACATGTGTTACATTTGACGTCTTTCTAAATGGCATTGTATATTTGTTGCTTTGTTGCCATGGGAGCCATGCCAGTTTACATTTGTCAGAGGGGTACACCAAGTATGTTATCTGGGGTACCAGTTGTCCGACTTTCACTCTCTTGGAACACACGTGGTTGAGATGGGTTAGATTGCTGACTTTGTGTGTTGGTGATTAAGTGCCTGCTTCTGATCGTGGGTTCAAATCCCAGATGGGAATCAACCCTAAAAGAACATGTACTAGACTTTGTACTTTACAAGAAAGTGTAATCCCAAATATAACGTGTTTCATATCATGGCTGATGTACTTACAGATAGGGTATACATGGTGGCTCTGTCTCGGAGAGTGCCTGTCTGTACGCACGGAATGATGAAGAGCTGTCTATCAACTGACAGAACTCTTTCAGAGCCTGAAATACATCAACGTGGGTCACAATACTGAAAGAATCCACAATACATTAAGTGGTGAAAATATGTAAATAATCAAATTTTCTAAAAATGATATATATTTCTAAACAAACAGTTGAACATGTCTATACACATGCTGAATTTGGGGAAAAGCTACATTGTATCTACATTGGGGATGTGAGTTAAGCTGCATGACAGTGAACTATCTTCAGTTTGCAGATGACCTCCAAACTAAATCTTATTGTTACACAAGCATAATCTAAAGTGATGAAAAGCACTTTCAGAAAAGCTACCAAAGGGAGGTAACTCTATGCAACTGGGAAACATACCTCTAAGTTTTGTTTCTGCCACTCCAGTCTCCTGACTGGTGCAGAGTCAAGCGCGGACAGAATAGCAAGGTATGAGTTGAAGTTGCTCATCTTCCGAAGGTGCTGCAATAAACATACAAGGCACGTTAGAATCTGTCAGTCATTCTGCATTACACTTACATTACAATACTTTCAATTCAATATGACAGAGAATGAGCTTCATGTTGGTGAAAGGTAAAATCACTGGCCAGTAGAGGGGTTTGTGAGTGAGTTTGGTTTTACACCGCTTTTAGCAATTTTCCAGCAATATCATGGCAGGTGACACCAGAAATGGACAGGCCAGTAGAAAGTACTAACTTCAGATTTTAATGAGTGTATGGTTATTTGACTTTAAAAAGGATGTGAGCAGATCTTTGTGTAGTGAGTTACTGAGTGAGTGAGTTTGGTTTAACGCCGCTTTTAGCAATATTCCAACAATATCACAACGGGGGGGAGACCAGAAATGGGCTTCACACACTGTACCCATGTGGGGAATTGAACCTGGGTCTTCCGCGTGACGAGCGAACGCTTTAACCACTAGGCCACCCCACCGCCCTAGATCTTTGTGTAGTGTCAGCCGGACTAAAATGGACATCTGGTGATACAAGTAGGTGTAACACTAACCTTCATTATTTTGATGAATTTGATGAGGTACTTCTCCCTCTCCTTGGGATCCTCTTGTGTCAGGATGCGGGTGCGACACCTTAACATAGATTTTTCAAGGTCAGCCATTACCCTTTACATATATCTCTTGCAAGCAGAGTAAGAAAACACATTATGTTGCCTTGGAGCTGATTTCTCCTCTTCATGAAGGATCTAACAGGACTCAAATAGACTATATAAATGATACTTGTGAAACGATACCTACCAATATGACATCTTGTTGAAGTGTTCTGTGAAGTGGGTCAAATTGGGGCTCAGTTCCTCAGACTGCTCCTTGGCCCACAACAGAACCTCAGGAATCTGTAGACAGGCAAAGATTAATATTGACTTCCTCTACACTAAAACTGTGTTTAAACTAAGTGAAGGCTAACAGTATGTAAGAAGGCAGTTTTATCCAACTCCACAGGAGTGTTAATCAAAATTACTGCGATTTGTTTTTATGTTATCATTAGAAAATTTGTGAGGTTTTTCAAACAACTATACAGTGACGTCTAGGTCAGGGGAAGGTAACTCTGTCAGTTGGGAGGGCATACCACTAGGGATAGCTATGACTTAGTGTTAAAATTTTCACTTCATTCTGTATGTGTCTGTGGAAACCCCAGAATTAAGGCAACCATAATCCAGAGGGAATGTTAACGCCTTAATTATAATAAATTACTAACTCATACAATATATTGGCACTATAACAAAACTGTCCCAACCTCTATTTTCTGGAAGAGCTCAGCATCCATAAGAGTCATCTGCTCCGCTATCTCCTGAGACTTGAAGTGGAGAAGGTCTGGCAGGCTAGAATATAAGGAGGGGGTTACTATGTGACAGGCTGTATATATATACATGTGAAAACAACAACAGTTATGAGATAACAAGGGAAACCAGGCCCTGATTTCTCAAAACAAACTGGGGCGGTGGGGTAGTCTAGTGGTTAAAGCGTTGCCTCATCACGCCGAAGACCCGGGTTCGAATCCCCACATGGGTACAATGAGTAAAGCCCATTTCTGGTGTCCCCCGCCGTGATATTGCTGGAATATTGCTAAAAGCGGCGTAAAACCAAACTCAGTCAGTCAGTCAGTCAAAACAAACTTAAGTTTTTACTCAAATTTCAAACTGAGTTTGACAATTTGAAACAGCTGAATTTTGAACTCAGCTGCCTTTTTTAAATAAAAAGCCCAAATAACTTAAGTATTCTCTTCACCAAACTCAAATTGTCTACTATGTTTGAGTTTAATATCGATTTCTATTCATTCTGGGAAGTGCGTTTTCTCAAATTTGAGTAAAAATTCGAACTTAAGTCAAAACTCAGACTTCAAGTTTGTTTCGAGAAATCGGGGCCAGAAGTTAACTGGCACTAAATGGTAGATGGACAAGTGGAAGCCAGGGATTGTTAATCCAGGCATGATTGATGAGGTAACAATGGTGGCAATTTAACAAGGGATAAGAAAAACAAATAGAAGCCAGGGGGGAATAATTATGTACATATTAGCTGTCTGTTCCTAACTGGTTCATTCACCTGTTGAAGGAGTAAGAATATACTTCAAAACGTCGTGACCCTTCACAATAAAGAAGTTGACATCCATAAAATTCTTGCCTTCTTTTTATTCATTATCAAGACGTTTCAGAGCTAATTCTTGCTCCTTCATCATGTATTCATGTTGGCTAGGGGTCCAAATTAAGGGAGTCTGAGATCCTTGAGGTCTATTGACCGCGTCTTTGGTGTAGTGGTTAGACGTCCGCCCGGAGAGTCATACCAAAAGACGTTAAAATATGGTACTTGTTGGTCACTGCCTGGCGCTCGGCATTAATGGGTACAACAAGGACTGGTGGGCTCAGAGTCAGTATAATGTGTCTGAGTGGGGTATTCATGCTTCACTGCGGCATGGTATCTCAGTGGGCTAGCACTATAAAACCAGCTTAAGTCTGGGCTAGTACAAGCAGCCGCACATACACATACACACGCATGCACGTCGTCATATGAGGAAATATTCTCAATAAGACGTTAAACCCAATTTCACCTCACCTCACCTTGAGGTCTATTGTAGCATTTAATAACTGTTAACTTTATGGTGAGTCCTTGACCTTCACGCATGGTTCTGACAACTGTATTATCTCCCTTACTTCTGAGACAGCTGGATTGACTGCACAGGTGTCATTGTGTTGGCATTGTCGGCAAGGATTTTCTGGCGCTGTTCACACTTCTCGATGATTTTCTTCCGAAGGATCCTTGCTAGCATCAGCTCTCCCTGGCAGACCAGTTCATATACCAGGTCCATCATCCGTCTCACCACTTCCTCTTCTAACTCCATGTATCTGTAATGAGTTGTGTGGAAACCAGCACTGATTAATACTTCACAACTACTATTCTATTCACAGTCATAGTAATTCAACTAAATTTCCCTTAACAGGCTGTATTGAAAACAAACATGGATTAATGTTATTACTTCAAAACTCAGGGGTGGAAATAACCCATTGCCTCGACGTCCGAGTCCAGTGGTTTTTTCTGTCGGGCAAGCAAATTTGTATATCACACTGTACCGGTGTCCAGTTGACTTTTCAATATTAATTATGTTATTTATTTAAAAAATCAACAAGAAAACGGACGCTATAGTGGAAAAATTATCAGGGCAAGTGAATTTACATGTGCCAGTGTACCGGAGTACACTAGCAATTTTAAAGTTATTTCCACCCCTGAAATTATTATCCTTAATAAGAAATACTCATAAAAGATGTCTGGACGCTAGCATTTGTGAAACAAACACCTCTATATATACCTATCTTCATTCAAACAATTTTCTGGAATAAGCTGTGAGTATAATTTTGAAAACCAAAAACAATCTTGTTAACTTTCCCTATTTCCCTCACCAGCACTGATTCATAAATTCAAATTATTATTGTATTAAATTTTAACACTAAAAATATTTCAGTTAAATTCAAAATCACAATTCATCTTGAAACACACATGTATATAATGAATGTTATATCTATTCTATCTATTCGTAATGTTTCTTTTTTGTTGTACATAACTCTATAAGCACCAACATGTACATCTACTGCAGCAAATCCTACTTTCTCTATGGGACACAACTCTACACAGCAGTTAAGGGCGGTGGGGTAGCCTTGTGGTTAAAGCTCTTGCAGGTCACTGCGAAGATACAGGTTCAATTCCCTACATTTGTACAATGTGTGAAGCCCATTCCTGGTGTCCCCCGCCATGATATTGCTGGAATTTTCCTAAAAGTGGCAGTAAAACCAAGCTCACTCACTCACTCACTCTACACTGCCTTTGGACTGACTGACTGAGTTTGGTTTTACGCCGCTTTTAGCAATATTCCAGCAACATCACAGCGGGGGACACCAGAAATGGGCTTCACACATTCTGCCCATGTGGGGATTCGAACCCGGGTCTTCGGCGTGACGAGCCAACGCTTTAACCATTAGGCTACCCCACCGCCCCCACATTGCCTTTGGAAATTCATTAGACTTATAAACATTCAAGCAGAACCATCATACCCCGATTCAACTACCCTGTGCCATTTAGAAAAATCCTGCCATCACAGCTTCTTCCTTCATCTGTTTACCTACCCTAGTTCATCCACCACCCTAATGAGGAGAGAGAAGGCGTTCCGGGACAGTCTTTTTTTGTCCTTGACATGCTGGAACTTGTAGAATCGGTACAGCAATTTATCTATCAGCTCCTTGCAGACAATGAACGTCCGATAGGTTGTCAGGAATGCCTCCTGGTAGATGAACTCTGAAAACAGACATAATAATTCCAATTGAATTTAATGAGAAAACCAATTCCTGGCACGGTCCAGAACAGACCACCTGATTCCTGATTCAACAATTGGTATCTTCTTCAGTTAGTAAGTCACCAGCATCACTCGTTTCCAAGAAAATGCAAAGAGAAAAGAAATTTGTCACTTCTATACTTCAAATTCACTTTTGTAAATTTCTTCTGCACACATAAAGGTTCCTTTTAGTTCTGTCCCATTGCATAACTATATCAAATGCTACTGTTTCTTATATCTTATTTTATCTAATGCATCATTCCTAACAACTTGTCTTGTACTCTCATTCACTCTTGCTTGACAACGGTATAAGAATCCATACCGAAACGTGGCATCATATATAATAAAAGAAGTTGTTATCCATAAACAATTTTATTTTCTTAACTTGTCTTGTACTCTCATTCTCTAAGATTTCATCTCATGCAATACTTTCTCAGCAACTTGTCATGTACTCTCACACTCTATACAATTATATTTAATGCATTATTCCTAACAATTTGTGTTGTACTCTCAGCACTCTATACAATTATATTTAATGCATTATTCCTAACAACTTGTCTTGTACTCTCACACTCTATACAATTATATTTAATGCATTATTCCTAACAATTTGTGTTGTACTCTTATTCTCTATACAATTATATTTAATGCATTATTCCAAACAACTTGTGTTGTACTCTCAACACTCTACACAATTATATTTAATGCATTATTCATAACAACTTGTCTTGTACTCTCACACTCTATACAATTATATTTAATGCATTATTCCAAACAACTTGTCTTGTACTCTCACATTCTATATGAATTTTATTTAATGCATTATTCCAGAACAACTTGTCTTGTACTCTCAATCTCTATACAATTATATTTAATGCATTATTCCTAAAAACTATTCTTGTACTCTCAGGCATCTCTACAGTTTATATTTAATGCATTATTCCTAAAAACTTGTCTTGTATTCCTAGTCTCAGATCTATACAGTTATATTTAATGCATTATTCCTAACAATTTGTCTTCCTAGTCTCTCATCACTTCTATGATTTTTAATGCAATGTATTATTCCAGGCAACTTCCTATTCATAGTCTCATCACTCTCACAATTTAACCCAATGCAATATTCCAAACTTTCCTATTCCTAGTCTCAGATCACCTCTACAGTTTAATGCAATGTAATATTCCAAACTTTCCTATTCCTAGTCTCAGATCACCTCTACAGTTTAATGCAATGTAATATTCCAAACTTTCCTATTCCTAGTCTCAGATCACCTCTACAGTTTAATGCAATGTAATATTCCAAACTTTCCTATTCCTAGTCTCAGATCACCTCTACAGTTTAATGCAATGTAATATTCCAAATGAACAAGCCATAAACTCTCCGACCTTCTACCAGAATTTTGTCCAAAGCAATATTCCTAACATCTTGTCACTCTAAAATTATATCTTATGAAACTTAATTCTGTGCCACTTGTCATTCACTGTGAGGCCATCTCTGTAACTATATGTTATGCAATACTCCTACCAGCTACAATCATTCACTACAATCCACATTTCAACATATTGTTTAGTCCATAATTATAATTTCCAAGTTAAAATGTTTATTCTGATTTCCAAAAATGCTAAGCAGGTAGGGTGTTATAGTGTGTGTGTGTGATGCAGCGAAACAAGTATAGAGTTACCTCCCTTCAATTATAGACATGGATATGTTGTCATTCATTTAATCTGTTGTGTTTTGAAGTTTTTCTTGGTACATTTTCCACAAGTTTTTTTTTTATAGTATGAAAATAATTGATTTACATTCATTGCTTTTAACATTTACTTACTTCTAGTTAGTGGAATAAAAGAAACACTACATTTACGTTTTTGGAGCTGGCAGATAAATAACCTGATTTAAAAAGGTCTAGCCTGAAGGATAACATGTTTCATGTTCTTTATTGCATGACAACATTGTATAGGTGTTAACACACGTATGAGCTTTACCATGCTTGATAACTCTCTGTATCACGTGGATCACATTGAACAACAACGTCACACACAACACCAGTATCACACAGTCTACAGGCAGAAGATAGAAAAGAAAGAAGAAATATACAACATAGATCTGTCTGATTCCTGGAAATTGTCATAATTCACCCATCAGGATAATTAACGACAAATACCACAGTAAACACCCATCATTACTGATAAACAGCATGTCGGAATGCTGAAACTGACATTTGAATGTTTTTTCTCTTTGCATCCAGCATCAGCACAATATAATGTATCATGTAAGTATGGTTAAATTACCGATGATAGTGCCAACTGAAACCAAACCACTTCATTCTTTCTCAAAATGGTTACCGCTACAGCCATTTTGAAATCTAAATAGACAACTTAATTCTAGATATGTATCTAGGTTTTGAAAACATAGATATCTGAAGATAATACTCAGACATTAAATATTCTCTCCACTTCAATAACTGTGGTAACATTAGAGCAACTGCATCACATCAGTGGCTCCTGAGATGTTTGAGATTCCTAACATTCTGATCGATGTTCGTACTCTGTAGACCATCAGGCCTCAGATTCTTGTTCTCAGTGGCCTCCGGATGTGAGATTCCTGAACCAATCAGACTTCCTGTTCCCAGTAGCCCCCTGAGATTCCTGAACCCAGAAACCAACCAGACTTCTAGTTTTCAGTAGCCTCCTGAGATTCCTGAACCCAGAAACCAACCAGACTTCTAGTTTTCAGTAGCCCCTGAGATTCCTGAACCCAGAAACCAACCAGAATTCTTGTTTTCAGTAGCCCCCGAGAAACCGAGATTCCTGAACCCAGAAACCCAGAAACCAGACTTCTTGTTTTCAGTAGCCCCCTGAGATTCCTTTCTGAACCCAAGAATTCTTGTTTTCAACCAAACCAGACTTCTTGTTTTCAGTAGCCCCCTGAGATTCCTGAACCCAGAAACCAACCAGACTTCTTGTTTTCAGTAGCCCCTGAGATTCCTGAACCCAGAAACCAACCAGAATTCTTGTTTTCAGTAGCCTCCTGAGATTCCTGAACCCAGAAACCAACCAGACTTCTTGTTCTCAATAGCCCCTGAGATTCCTGAACCCAGAAACCAACCAGACTTCTTGTTCTCAATAGCCCCTGAGATTCCTGAACCCAGAAACCAACCAGACTTCTTGTTTTCAGTAGCCCCTGAGATTCCTGAACCCAGAAACCAACCAGACTTCTTGTTTTCAATAGCCCCTGAGATTCCTGAACCCAGAAACCAACCAGACTTCTTGTTCTCAATAGCCCCTGAGATTCCTGAACATAGAAACCAACCAGGATTCTTGTTTTCAGTAGCCCCTGAGATTCCTGAACCCAGAAACCAACCAGACTTCTTGTTTTCAGTAGCCCCTGAGATTCCTGAACCAAGAAACCAACCAGACTTCTTGTTTCAGTAGCTCCCTGAGATTCCTGAACCCAGAAACCAACCAGACTTCTTGTTTTCAATAGCCCCTGAGATTCCTGAACCCAGAAACCAACCAGACTTCTTGTTTTCAATAGCCCCTGAGATTCCTGAACCCAGAAACCAACCAGACTTCTTGTTTTCAGTAGCCCCTGAGATTCCTGAACCCAGAAACCAACCAGACTTCTTGTTTTCAGTAGCCTCCTGAGATTCCTGAACCCAGAAACCAACCAGACTTCTTGTTTTCAATAGCCCCTGAGATTCCTGAACCCAGAAACCAACCAGACTTCTTGTTCTCAATAGCCCCTGAGATTCCTGAACCAAGAAACCAACCAGACTTGTTTCAATAGCTCTCAATAGCCCCATGAGCCCCTGAGATTCCCTGAACCCAGAAAACCAACCAGACTTCTTGTTTTCAACCCTGAGATTCCTGAACCCCAGACTTCTTGTTTTCAGTAGCCCCTGAACATTCCTGAACCCCTGAGAACCAACCAGACTTCTTGTTCTCAATAGCCCCTGAGATTCCTGAACCCTGAAACCAACCAGACTTCTTGTTTTCAATAGCCCCTAGCCTGAACCCAGAAACCAACCAGACTTCCTGAACCCAGAAACCCACCAGACTTCTTGTTTTCAGTAGCCCCTGAGATTCCTGAACCAAGAAACCGACCAGACTTCTTGTTCCAGTAGCCCCTGAGAGATTCCTGAACCCAGAAACCAACCAGACTTCTTGTTTCCAGTAGCTCCTGAGATTCCTGAACCCAGACCTTCTGAGATTCCTGAACCTGAACGAAACCAACCAGACTTATTGTTTTCAATAGCCCCTGACCTGAGATTCCTGAACCCAGAAACCAACCAGACTTCTTGTTTTCAATAGCCCCTGAGATTCCTGAACCCAGAAACCAACCAGACTTCTTGTTCTCCAGTAGCCCCTGAGATTCCTGAACCCAGAAACCAACCAGACTTCTTGTTTCCAGTAGCCCCCTGAGATTCCTGAACCCAGAAACCAACCAGACTTCTTGTTTTCAGTAGCCCTCCTGAGATTCCTGAACCAAGAAACCGACCAGACCTCGTCAGTAGCCCCATGACGTAAGATTCCTGAACCCAGAAACCATGGAGACCTCTTGTTCTCAGTAGCCCCATGACGTAAGATTCCTGAACCCAGAAACCAACCAGACTTCTTGTTCCCAGTAGCCCCTGTGTGTATCCAGTAGCCCCTGACCCTGAGATTCCTGAACCCAGAAACCCCACCAGATGTGTGTTGTTCCAGTAGCCCCTGACCTGAGATTCCTGAACCCAGAAACCGACCAGATGTGTGTATCCAGTAGCCCCCTGACCTGAGATTCCTGAACCCAGAAACCGACCAGATGTGTGTATCCAGTAGCCCCCCGACCTGAGATTCCTGAACCCAGAAACCGACCAGATGTGTGTATCCAGTAGCCCCCTGACCTGAGATTCCTGAACCCAGAAACCGACCAGATGTGTGTATCCAGTAGCCAGCCAGAAGTAGCAACCCCATTCACCAACCAGATTTGTGCATCCAGTAGCCATCCAGATGTGAGATTCCATTCAACAGTAGCCCACCAAATATGTGAGAATGCAAGCATTAATTACCATTCTCATTCACAATGCACCCACCACCAGCTTGGCCAGTTCTCTATAATGCATGCTCTACATGTACATCAAGATCAGTTAACCTGAAGGCATCGATAGCGTGATGCCGTTCTCGCAGATAGTGGAGCCACACAACACATTTGGTGAGTGAGTTATAATTTGTCATCACATCAGCAGTATTCAAGCCAATTAGTGACAAAAGAGTGTGTTAAAGAAAACACTATTTCCCTTTAAGATCCATTTATGGGTATCAGGTCGTGATAGGTAGCAAAGAGTTTGCCGTGAAATATAAGCAATGTCTTCCTTAGCAGATGGATGAAAGAAAGGAAAATCAAAATCAGTGCTTTAGCAGTTTGTTAGTAAGCAACTGGAATAAAATACTGATAGAATTATTTTTGTCTCAAAAACACGTCTGACGTTATTTTACTCAACTGTTTGATATATTTTTAATGTTTGTACTTTTGTTTTAATGAGAGAGACAGGCAGAAAACACAGAAGATCTTGCAATACTTACATTCAGTTAAATAACAATACCTATTTCATGTGCACATAAGGTTTGGCAGGGTCAAGGTTAGGTTCAAGGTCATTGGGAAATGGTATGGGAATAATACCCATAATGCAATATATGTGTTACCAAACATTAGTAAGAGATTCCTTCATTACTTTACAGACACAATATCAAGAGAAAAACGAAAATGACACTAAAAGAAAATACACCAAAGTGAAAAACATACACTGAATGCGAAGCACCACGCAGGGGAAACGATGTTCATGTATATGATATCAGGTGGAACTGAACCACATCAGACATTCCAAAATGTCATGCTGTTATGTGAGAAATGAAATAGATCTCCACTACAACCACCAATACAATATGGCTAGATATACTGGAGAACGGTCCCACCCAAAGTCACAATCTCAACGATGGGTCCACGGGTCATATGAGAGATGACAACAATTTTCTGTATGTTGTCAAACCTCTGGTGTGCTCCGCTACTTTTCTCAACATTTACTCGATATCACTGTCACTAATTCCAAACAAAAACTTGTAAAAAAGAAAGGTTTTGGCATAAAAGAAGCAATAACTTTAAAAAATTGACAACATTCATATCTTCACGAAATCATGTTTTTAAGAAAAGAAAATAAGGATAAACAAGTGAGCAATTTCAGCAATGCAAACAAAATTGCAGCGTAAAAAAACTGTGAAATAACAGAGCACTCATCCCCATCAGCTTTGCTAGTTCGACTGAGGAGAGGGTTAAGGAAGGGACATAACTCTCTGTAGCTTACCTTCCTGGTTTACTAGATCTCCTTGTGAGCCTTGTGTGAAGAATGCAGAGAAATGATTGGTTCATGCAGCATGATCATGAGAGGGGACGGGATCAAACAATTGCATCATGGGTACACAAAAAGACACAAATATTTGTTAACTTTACAGTTTGTTTATAATTTAATTGTTTGATAAGATCCATCAAGGAAACAGATATCCAAACAGATGAAGTTTCACTTCCTCAATATCATGTTCAAATTCAAATAAGCCATTATCAAAAAGCACATAGAATTTTTAAAATAGTATGAATGTAACCTGAACAGAAATAATTTTCAAGTTATTAAATGTTAATGTGAAATATTTAAATATTCCAGTAAACAAGAATCAGTACCCATGATGCCAAGTTGCCAATACCCACAATCAGCCAGAAAAGTTAAATACATTTCCTTGGCATGTCAAAAAACAATTCTTTCATGTGTAAAAAGTTCACACCAAATCTTTAACAGTCAAAACATTCCCTGTAGGGCAGATCTATAGCCAAAGACATTACAAGGTTTTGGAGGGTGCCAATTACCAAGAGAGACTGGTTCTACTGTCAGAGATACATGTCTTCCTCAGAGATTTAGGGAGCAGTTCAGCTTAATTCCTTGTATAGGGTTTGGGGGGCAACTTCTTATCTAAGTAGATTTAGAGGTAATGTCAAGATAGCGGTGGGGGATAAAACCAGTATATTGCAATTAGAACTTCACAATACGAGATATTGTGGTACACTTTTCGTGAACCGGTTCACCCGATACGATTGGTAATTTTCGTGATGTAGTAAAAACTACTAATAACATTTGTATTTCCTTTATATTATTACACATCAATAGTTTTCAGAATGTTTATTGTTCATATAATTCCATTTGCCTGACTTTTAAACCATACAAATACAAAAATAGATTGGTACCGACACCGTTGTAAGGATAAACAAACCAAAATGGTGGACGCAGATGTTTTTCTCGAGTTCCAAACTTTAGAGTTTTCAGTTTGGAAACATTTTCAATTGATCTTTTGTACAATTACATCTGAGTCCCAACAGTGGCCAGTTGCATTGTTTCAAAAAAAAAGGAAACAGTAATTTCATTACCTTAACCCATGTGTTACACTTTCACAATATATTGCAATACATATTGCAGTACGCCAACACATATCACGATATATCGCAATACGAAAATTTGGGCAATCCCCAACCCTATGTCAAGTGACCACACCTGTAATTGTCCTATACTCCCAAATTGAATATTTACATTATAGGTATAAAATGGATTTGTACTGAAAGAGCAGTCAACTTGACATACACTAAACACAGTCTATTAGTTGTTAGTATCATTCAACTCGTCTTGAGTGAGTGAGTTAGCTAATATTTAACGTCACATCGGCAATATCGAAGCCATATCGTGACGACTCGTCTTGTGTAGTATATAATGAATGCACTAGAAATATAATAAACATCTTAGTAAAACTTAAGAAATACTTTATTTGTTTCATATGACCATAGTAGATAATGTGGCTGGTGTAGAATAAGGAACACAGCCTTCAAGTTGTGGGTGTTCTTTATTTGTTTTGAGCAGTATATTAATACACTAGAAATACTAGTCTCAGTAAAAGTTAATGACCTGATTTTTTTAACATGACCATAGTTGATAATCTGACATGGCTGGTGAATACTCTGAAACAGCCTTCACATTGTGGGTGTTCTCTACTTGTTTTGAGTGGTATATTTAACATCTTGACACATTAGAGGATGAGAACAATTTAAGAAGAAAGTTACTTTATTTTCGGGCTGGGTGGGTAGGATGGAATGTGCTTACACATGTCTCAAAACGTTTTATTTTCCTTCACTGAACTACTCCCTTACCATTTCTATAAAGATGACGCCAAGCAAGACATGTTTCAAACCAGTCTCTGTTGCGAGTCATAAACAGACAAAACATTTGTGGAGAGCAAATAAAAGGGGATCTACATATCATTCTCTACATTCAATATGGCTGATCAGAAACAGACTTCAGGTATAAGTAACATTTCTTAGTGAATTGTCAGTTGTGCAGTGTTGGCCTGTAGGCCCAGAGTAACAAATTCAACTCCTTTGAAATACAGTGAAATCATGTTAATCCTGGCTGTAAGATAACTAGTCTTAGGAGCATATTACTTTGGTATCTTGAATAAATTTTTTTTAAAATCTAAATAATTTCCGTGTGATGTGTGCCAACCTGACAAGATTTCACTGTACAAACAGGCCACCTACCAATGTGATGTATAAAAACATATTACATAATTCAATAAAGACAACTGTAAAACATATTCTGAGTATTTCCACAAGATCACAATGTTACCAATTCCAAAAGAATCATCAATATGAAATGATTTTCAACAGCCAAATACACATATAAACCAAACCAATACTTGTATCCAGAACCATATTTTGATGTCTGTTTTAACAAGATTATTTACTGGATGTGGCAATATCAGTTGCTTGTTTAACAGTCACCCAGTGTTATATACAGATACAAAACTAGTCATGAGGAAACATGTACCTGATTTTCCAGCAGCTGTTGCATGTACAACCAGGGCGTCTATAGATCCTCCCCGGATGTCGGGGCCATCTTCGCCCTGTCACACGGAATAACACAACTCTATAACTGTCGACTACTGTATATTGTCGTCTATCACACAACCCTGACTTTAAAACTACCCTAGATAACCTAAACAATTTTCTATACTTAGTATGTAGAAAATAGCATCTGCTTGTACAATCAGTGTCACTCTCTGTCAAACACCATTGCTCCTAAAATATTGCAATATGTATCGCAGTACAAGTACCTGAATAGTGAGTGAGTGAGTTTAGTTTTATGCTGCACTCATCAATATTCCAGCTATATGGCGGCGGTCTGTAAATAATCGAGTCTGGACCAGACAATCCAGTGAGCAACAGCATGAGCATTGATCTATGCAGTTGAAATATGATGCCATGTGTCAACCTGACCACCCGATCCTGTTAGTCGTCTCTTACGACAAACATGGGTTGCAGAAGACCAATTCTTACCCGGATCTTCACAGTTTGCCAATACACAAACTATGTGGGTGCTGAACACTGATCTACAACTCACCTGCTGTTTTCTGATGAGCTGATCCGACACATCCACATCATCAAGTGGGTTCAGTTCAGCAAAGTCAGAATCAGCATCTTTCTGAATCTCCGGCTTCTGGGGACAGGGGAGGGGTGGGGTAACTGGTTTGGGGCAGGTTTTGGGAGGGACGGGATAATGGTTTCACACACAGTGGCTGGGGCAGACTGGCTCTTGGGGTCCCTGTGGAAGAGAGACATTTGATTGGATTGGATAAGAGTGGTCAAATATCACACACCAATGTATATTACAGCCTCAGTGATTCTACACTACAACAGTTAGACAACCTGAAAACAAGGGGACCCTCGAGTTCTTGTTTCATTTCAAATGTATCAGGATGTACAGACTCTGCTAAGTTATTCAGCTTGCAAATATTCTGTTCACCAAGCTGTGACGCATGTTACTCATAGTGTGCAACTGGTCAGGTTCGAAAATCATTTCCTCATCATACTGGATATAGAATTGACCTGACCCCTGACTCCCAAGGTCTCCTGTCAAACCATCTCTAGACCAGATAATCCAGTGATTGATATTCTCATAAATGACTGACTGACAAGGTTTTACATGAGCAATATTCCTGTAAATCACGGCAACATCAGAAATGGGCTAGTACCATGAATCGAACCCGGTCTTCAGTGATTTAACCACTAGATATTCTCATCAATGATCCATACCTTCAGGGTATAATGACATGCTTATAAACCATAAACCAAGTCACTGAGGATGCCTGCCTGAAACATTCGGTCGACTCTTACGACCAGTGTAAGCTGCTTGGCTCCTTACCTACCCAGCTTAACCCTCGGTGCCTCACTAATGAACACAAAATGATTACAGCGCTGGAAGACATGAGTACTCACAGTTCTATTGCCGGCCGAGGTCCAGTGACCGCTGGTTCCAGCAGGCTGACGGTCTTCTCCCGAATGTCACCTGCACTGTTCGACATATCCGACTGACTTGATCCTGACCCCGTCGATGCCATACTCTGACGATTCATATTTTGCTGCACATATGTAAAGAGAAACCAGATCAATTTTTGTTGCCTCACATTCAAATACTGTATTTCTTGTACTAAGCACCTTGCTCCCAATAGAGACGAGATAAAGGCATTTTTCTGAAAATTTCAAACATAAAATTTCAATCTGACCATGACCTTAAACATGAGTGAGTTTAGTTTTACGCCACACTCAGCAATATTCCAGCCATATGGAGGCGGTCTGTAAATTATTGGGTCTGGACCAGACAATCCAGTGATCAACAGCATGAGCATCCATCTATGCAATTGGGAAACGATAACATGTGTCAACAAAGTCAGTGAGCCTGACCACCCGATCCTGTTAGTCGCCTCTTACGACAAGCATGGGTTGCTGAAGATCAATTCTAACCCGGATCTTCCGGTTCAAACACTGTGCTTTCAAAAGCAATGTGGTGGCAGTCAAACTGAATATTATATAGAGCTGCTTAATTAACTTTGATCAATGGGGACGAGTGGAAACTCTTCACAAAGAATGTAGAAACAGGTCTCCTTCCGTACCACTTCAACTTACCCGCTTCATTTTGATTGGAAGTGCTGGCAAGCCAGTGAATCTGTCTGGAGATCCGGAGCTGAAAGAAGTGTCCGAGCTGAAGTTGGAGATGTCTGAGATGACGCTGATGGTGTTGGAGCGTGGGTAAAGTGGCTGGAACAGCTCCATCTGGTGCTGGTGCCACTGAGCCTCGTAGAAGTTGATAGAGTGCCGTGAGATACACTCAAGGGAAGACGGTTGGGTATAAGACCCAAACGTCTGCATGTAGGCGTGTACTGAAACGGCAAAATCTGAATCTGTTAGGCAAATACCATCATGTATATTCTGTCCTGACAGTGATACATTTACTTGTTTGATAGATGAGAAAAATAAGACTCCTAACTTCCTGCATTGTAAATACTGACAGTATAATTTTCTTCTTCCTTTTCAACTAAGCCAAGATTATCCATACGTTTAGTTCAAACTATGATAAGATGATTGGGATGTTTTCTATTCAAATTTGTGAATTTTACAGTCACTTACTGTAAATTTGGAACCGAATATCAGCTTCACAGGAGGCCTAGTTGTTTGGCAAGTAATATTAAATTACCAACATTTAAATATTATTTTCTGGATGTATAGGTCCGTCTCCTATTCTCGCGGGTTTCCTATTCTCGCGGTAAATACGTTTTCTGCCGAAATCGCCGATGCGTGACACTTAGCGGTTGTTTACATCACCGACTGGTAACTAGGAAGTGGACCAAGTCGGTGAATAATCAAAATCTTGCAGTGTCACGAATATTGGGGAGTTTATACCAACTTGGACATATCATTACTTTTTCCCGCCCTTTCCGGCAGGATGACTCTTACATACACTCAATAACGCTAATTCCTCGTAATACCGCGAGAATAGGAGAAGCCTCATTTCGTCAATGGCGGATGGCATTGTTTATCACCGGGCTCACGAGTGGTGATTCACCTGATGGATATGGCAGCTGATAGATGTAGATGATAGAGGAGAAGGCCCTTCATTTAAAAACAACAAGCATTCATACGATAAGAATTGATTATGTTATTTTTTCAGCCGATATCCGTAAGTACCGCGAGAATAGGAAACGCCTTCCTAAGTTTTGTCATCATTGATCGAATCTGTTAACAGAAAATATAAAACAGTGGCCTTGTTATACAGTGAAAGGTGTAAGTGACAATGCTGGACTATTTTTGCCACTTACTATGCCTCTTCTTGGGTGGGAGAGGTGGAGGTTTCGGCAGACTCTCCGTACTTGAGTGACTTGTGGCAGACGAGAACGTCTCCGAACTTGAGTAAGTTTCTTGGGAACTCGTTCTGTCCGCACAGAACAGCAGAGCACTACTGGAGGCCGACTTCTGCGTCAGCACACTCATGAAAGACTGCGTGGACTGGGAGCTCTGTGATGACTGGGAGCTGCAAGTAGAGGAGGACGAGATCCGGGACTCCATAGTCCTGTTGAACACAGACCTGGAAGCGGAGGACATAGAGGACGCATTGCACACCTGTAGTGCGTCCGGGACGTGATCGTACGCACGTTGACATCAGTCTGTGGATACGCTGCTTGCTTGGAATAGGTGGAGGTTTGTCATCAATGCTGGAGGTTAACTGGTTAATTTTATAAGTCAGGGAATTTATTTCGTCAAACGTTGTATGTTGAGTTGTTGATGAACGCATTACACTCGAAGACGATGAATTGATTACTTGTCCTTCGGTTAATTTTGTTATACTATTGGTCCGACTTGACCTCTGGGCCGAGGCTATAAGGTCTTCTGTGGATTTGTTAAGTCCCGAGCCGACACTGCTTGATGGTGAGTGACTCATGGGAGACACGCTGTGTGGTGATTGGCTGAAAGGAGTTAGGATCTCGCCTGTGGGGCTGATAAGGATGCTGTTCTGTGGTGACTGTGTCGGGGTGAGGGATGTAGTGGAGGTGGTGCTGGACATGAGATCATACATGTTTCCTGACCGCCGTTTCTCCTTGTCAGGAAGTGGTGGCGGGAAATCGCCATCAGGTACATCTGCACCTAATATCCTGCAACAAAATGAAATACTGCTGATTAGATTTATGTTGACAGATGTTTTCAAAGTTTGATAATCAAACTTGATCATGGTCTCAGCTGGGTAACCTGAAAAGTTCAACACTGGTCAACAGAAATACTATCAGGTCCTGAATGAGGCAGTTAGCCAGGTTGTATGACACTTCAAACAGTATTTCAGTTTTATTATCGCATGACAGCTCAGGAATCATAATCTGAGCATATTCCAACCCATGATGAGTAGATCCTGTCAAGATAAGGGACACAACTCTGCAAGGCAACCTCCAGTTGCAACTAAACGTGGAGTAGAAGGGCTGCATTGGATCCAAGTCCTGAAAACTTTTGAGCAGAAAATGAAGACATTTTTATGTTACTTGACAACTGAATATTAACAAGGAAGGAAACTTCTGCTCGGCTAATTCTGCTAAAGCTTCTGAAGCTCACCTCAAATGATGACTTAATACGATAATAACTTGTTGCACTGACAATGTCATCATGTGCAATGAGAAAACTGAAATGGATCCATTTCATTCATGAAGGAATTTTCATTTCTAAGATAGTGTTGTTGTTGTTACCGTGGTAATATTGAGTTTGCGCCATCTGGAAGAGGGGGTTTAGGGGCCGGGGAATCTTCAACGTCGAAGGAGAATATAGTGGGGTTGCTGAGACCTTCGCTGGAGCGGGATACCGTAGCATTGTCATAGATACCCATGCCACTCGTCTGTTCCAGGATCTGGCGTTCCCCCGGGGTCAGCGGGATGTCAGGAAGTGAGGAACGTTTGCTGCAAGGGAAGGCAGGCGTGGTGTACAACAAGGGATGTCACGAGGCGAGGAACGAGTAGGCGTGGTGTACAACAAGTTACATCACAAAGCGAGGAACAATTGCTGTAGGGGAAGGTAGGAGTGGTGTACAACAAGGGATGTCACAAGGCGAGGAACAAGTAGGCGAGGTGTACAACAAGTTACATCACAAAGCGAGGAACAATTGCTGTAGGGGAAGGTAGGAGTGGTGTACAACAAGGGATGTCACAAGGCAAGGAACAAGTAGGCGAGGTGTACAACAAGTTACATCACAAAGCGAGGAACAATTGCTGTAGGGGAAGGTAGGCATGGTATACAACAAAGGATGCCAGAAGGCGAGGAACAAGTAGGCATGGTGTACAATAAATTAGATAACAAACAAAGCGAGGAACACTTGCAGTAGGGGAATGTAGGTGTATTGTACAACAGGGGATGGCACGAGGAACAAATAGGCATGGTGTACAACAAGTTACATCACAAAGTGAGGGGATGTTAAATAAACGAGAAACGTTTGATGCAGGGGAAGTAGTCAAGGCATACAACAAGGGATGTTACAAAACGAGAAACGTTTGATGCAGGGGAAGTAGTCAAGGCATACAACAAGGGATGTTACAAAACGAGAAACGTTTGATGCAGGGGAAGTAGTCAAGGCATACAACAAGGGATGTTACAAAAACAGAAACGCTTACAACAAAGATGCAGGGAAGTAGTCAAGGCATACAACAAGGGATGTTACAAAACGAAACGCTTTGATGCAGGGGAAGTAGTCAAGGCATACAACAAGGGATGTTACAAAACGAGAAACGTTTGATGCAGGGGAAGTAGTCAAGGCATACAACAAGGGATGTTACAAAACGAGAAACGTTTGATGCAGGGGAAGTAGTCAAGGCATACAACAAGGGATGTTACAAAACGAGAAACGTTTGATGCAGGGGAAGTAGTGTGTGTAGCTAGTAAAGCAGGGCATGCTGGGAAAGATGTAATGTATAACTAGGGGTGCCAGGAAGTCTGGCGAGAGAGTAGCTATAAAACAAGGGATGTTCCTCAGAGAAGTGTTTACTGCAAGGGAAGATGTACAACAGAGATTTCTGGTGTACAACTATGAATATTAGGGAGTCAGACACGCTTGCTGCAGCGAGAGAGTAGGTATAGTTTGGTACTAGGGTGCTGCAGTTAGTAAGTGAAAATACCAAAACCCTTACGATGAAAATACATAATTAAATGAACACTGAAAAGATCTCCAAAACTTTGCAAAATTTGTTATTGCCTGGGCCAAAAGATATTACATGAAGAAAATAGAATATCATATCTTCATTACTGACACTAAATCTAATTTTAAAAATTACATAGTGGCGAAAAATCTGTGCGACAGTTCTGAATTGATCAGCGTGATTTTCAAAAGATTTTAGAGTCAAACCTTAGTCCACTTCTGACTGCTGGCTAAAGACATGATGACTTTATTCTTGTTGATTCATTTCACTCTGTTTGAAAATAGCTATCAGAAATCTAGAACCGTCTACCAGTCAGTCGAAGTGCATACAGGAAGTAAAGATGGAGGCTGTCCTACCTTCCCTCCAGCGTCCCCTGTAATCCCGAGGTGGAGGTGGGAGACTTGGGCAGGCTACTCTTTCTGGACGCCATCTTCTCTATACACAGCTGGGTGAGATCCTAGTGGAGAAATGTCAAGATTTCATGAAAACAATTCATTTACCTCCGCAATTTGGAACTTAAAAAATTATGAATGCCACATAAAATTAAAGTGATTTCAAGGCATGCGATTGGCTAACCAACAACTATTAAACATGTAATTTTTAGAGTAAAATTGATATTTTATACTTATCCTGACTCATGCTCTTTTGCTTGTCTTCTTCTTCTTGCGAACATAGTGGAACACTTGTATCTCCTTATTTGAAGCTCCCTTCAAAATAAAATCACTAATTGGTACTCACCACGAAGTTGCTCCCTTTGTCTCCCCTGGCGGGAAAGGTGTCGCCACCCTCTGGCCATGTGCTCCACTCTCTCCTGATTTAGCTGAAGCCCAACACTTGAATTCTACAGGAAATCCAAAGTGTTATGTGGGAGGATGGAGGGTTATTCCTCATGAGTCAGGATAAGTATAAAATATCAATTTTACTCTAAAAATTACATATTTTTCCCTTATCCTGACTCATGCTCTTTGTTTGTAGCATCCTACTGAACGGAGGTGGGTAACAGAATACTTTGGATTTATAATTAGTGATTTTGTATAGATATACTGTAATATCTCCCCTACGGAACTTCATGAAGCCTTAGATTTAGGATGTTTCCTGTATAAAGAAAACCATAGGTTATATAAAGCCATTAAAGGGGAATTACATTATGAATATATTGAACAATACATATAAATTATATATATATATATATAGGTGACTCTGATAGAGGCACTGAAATTGACTATATCCAAGTATATGCTTAAGGTAGAATACTTAAGCTGAACATATATACATAGCCCTAAAAACTCCTTAGAGTTATAAGCTAGATGAGCATGTATAAAATACATATTAATCTTGTGAGGCTAATATTTTAACGCCTACGCAGGGACTGTCAGTTGCTGAGCGAGGACCAGTGGTCCCAATGAATGCCAGAGACATCTTCTGTAGTGATGTCTCTTAGGTAGTGATTAGCAAATACCATGTTAGATTTCCAATAGCATCCTTCCATAATCGTGTTCAAGGAACAGTTACTGTGTAGGGCGAGGGTAGAGGCCAGTGCCCTGATCTCATGTGGATTTGATGCTGTTGGTGGGTCCAAGCCTGCTGCCTTGTAGGCACGGAGAATGACAGTCCTTATCCAAATAGATATTGTGGTCCGCGACACTTCTGTTTGATTCAGAGGGGCTTATAATGGGATGAATAAACGCTTGAGAAATCTTCTCCTTGTTTTGGATCGTCAGAATAAACTTTGAGCCTTACCGGACACAGTGATAGGTCTTGTGTATCTTGTGATCCGAGAATAGAGGATAGCCGGATGTGGAATAATCTGTCTGGTTGACCTGGCAGTTGATTCTTTGCAATGAAATCCCATCTTAATCCGAGGTGCGCTGTGTTATGATTGTCATCAAACTGTATCCTCTCAGAATCCAGAGCTGAATTTCAGATATTCTTGCTGCTGTGGCTAGCGATAGCAGAAACAATGTTTTCTGTGAGAGAAATTCAAAGTTTGTCGATTCCGTTGGTTCATAGACCTCACCGCGAGGTGTTGTAACACTACATTCAGATCCTGCTGGGCTGCGGAACTTCCGCTTTGGTCCTCCAATCGGAAAGCTCGTAGTAAGGCCAGTAACCTGGAGATCTTAATCAATTTGACACCCTGCTCTCATGGTGATTACAGAGCTAAGCCGCAAGATATGTTGATATCAAGAACCTTTTAAATGTTTGTTTTGGCGAGGTAACACAAATAGTCTGCCACTTGAGGTCAGAAGCCTCTCTTGCTGTAAACCCTTTCTTTGTTGCATAATTTTCGGCAAACTGTGCCACTTGTCGCCGACATTGCTACGAAGTTGAGTAACGTATAGGCGCGTGACTGCTTTAAATAGCTCTGGCAGAATATCCTCTCTTGTTTAAACACATTTGTATACAGTCCATAATGCAGTAGTTGAACATTGCTGGATGGTACTGGTAGGTCCGACTTGCGTAAGTTTACTAACCAACCTAGTTGTGTTAGTAGCTTTATGATGTAATTTTAACTGTAGTTTGAGACGCAGTGGATCTTGATCTACTTGTATCCCGTCGTCGAGGTAAAACGCACTCGTGGCCCTTGGACGATGTAGAAATTTGATAATCGGTTTCCGTTATCCTCGTGAATAGCCAGGGGCTGATGATATTCAATGGGAGTACTTTCCACTGGTAATGTAGCCCTTCTAGAGTAAATCGTAGGTATTTCCTGGAATCGGATGAATGGGGATGTGCAAGTAGGGCATCCTGTAGATCTATGCTGCCCATGTAGTCCATAGGACTAATCATCTGGCGTAACTGAGGTAAATGTATCATGCGAAACTCTTCGTGGTTTATGCGTGAGATAGTTCTTGCTGAAAAAGCTCATGTTGTAGATGAGTCTGTATTTCTCTCGTGGAGTTTTTCTTGGGAACTAGGAAACTGGGGAGTAGAAACCTGGTTCTCGACGCTTGTTTGGTCTATTACTTCTATGGCCTGTTTGGATAGGAGTGATGAGACAGCCTCTTTATCTTTATGGTAGTTGTTGCTTGTAAATCGAACTTGGGGTTTGATTGTCAGCGAGGCTTGTCCTGTAGAGGGATCACGAACTGTTGAATAATGTTGGAGACGTAAGGATCTTGCAGTATTCCCAGTTTTCCCAGTGTAGTTGGAGGCGTCCACCCACTTGAGCTGGTTGTACTGGAACGCGGCTGGGGGTGGAAGACTCCAGTCGCTTCGAACCTGTGTTTCAGCTGCCTATAATTGGGAACCTCTGGGTATCCTGCCTCTTCCTGATCCTCCTCTATAGTTGCCATATGGGCTTTACTTAAAAGAATCTTTACCTCTCTAGAGCTGGCTATCTTCCTGTCTCTTGCTCTCTTTGTAGGCCCGTGAACTTAGATCTGCCTGAGTATCTTTGTGAAGTCTGACCGAATGACGCTTGGCTAGTGTGTCCAACAATTATTTGGGGGCTTATACATAAAAACTGAAAAAGATTATCACTGATTTTGTCTGGCCTTTTTAGTCTACATAGTGATATTTTTATGTGCACTCCATTCATTTAACACTGATATGTCATAAATGCAAAAATATTGAAATCAAGTCTTAGATTGATAGTGTCATCAACTTGGTAAACCAACCCAATAAATATGCAAATGAGAAACTACTTTTCAGAAGCTTCATACAACAATTTGATGAAATTCCCTCAGAAAGATAAATTCATTATTACAAAGCTGTGTTGTATTCCATTTTAAAACACCATAAAAACTAAGGTATAGTGACAAATTAGTACATAGGATGCAATACGTACCTTTATACCATCAGAAAGAGCAGCAATTATTTCATTGGCAGTCTCCTTGTTGAAGTCGTCCTCGCTCTTCATCAACACACTGTCGGACCATCGTATGAACTTGGCCAGACACTGGCACACTTTGTTGTGATGTGACGCCAACTTAGAGCTGTAACAAGGTAATAGTTGTGTGAAACAGGAAAATATTTGCAAACTGTCTTGCGTTTTGCTTCTAATTCACGCGACTTTTTCTCTTTATTGTGTTTTGTGCTTTGTGTCAATTTCAGGCAAAAAATGAATCAAAGTCCATCATGAACCAACACGCTTATATAAAGTTTCAGTTTCATATTCTATTCTTTTTTAGATTTAATTGAAAATATTATTGTTAAATGACTGGTGTGAACAATAAACAATGTCTCAGAGTCATATGCTTAGTGGTTTCTGAGAAACAATAGTAAATAATGTTTTATAGAATATTTTTTCTTCAAAGTTTAACATTTTTGTTTAATGCCATGACCAAAACCAATCATTCTCATAAAGTTTAAGGCTTATCCCTGGAGACGGTCTGGGGAAGAACTGAAAAATTAATGGACAACTGAAAAATTAATGGACAGACAGACAGACAGACAGACAGACAGACAGACAGACAGACAACCAACCAACCAATGTGCCATGCCATAAGCATACTAAGTCCAGATGAGTTGGGCCAGCGGGTTAGCCTAATGGTTAACACATGCTGAAGATCTGGGTTCAATTCCCCACAAGTTCAGAATTTCCATTTTGGTGTTCCCTGCAGTGATAGCACTAAAAGTTGCTTAAACCATACAGGGAGCTAAATAACATAGATGGAATGACGGTGACCTTATGACATGTCATCACGACCCTGTGGTGTTGAGAGCTGCTCATGTTATCAACCACTGGCTGGTATGAGGCCACTTCATCCCTTGTTTTATACAAGTAATGGAATATCCAGATGCTAATGTCAATATTCAAGGGAGAATCTAACAAAATATCCCAGAATGTCAACCCAACGCAAAACAGCACTCTAATTATTGCCTTGCCATTTTGGAAATGTCTAGCCCAGCAAATACATTCATCCATAATGTCAATATTAGCCTATGAAGGACAACATTCTATTTCAAACAAATAAAACTGATTCCTAAGGGAAATAAAATTCATTGTATTTCCCAGGCAACACAAATTGCATCCCACTTAATGTCAAAATGACAGAAAAAATAATCAAGTGAAAATGAATATTGCTTTGCACAAACGACTATTAAATTATTTTCCCCCCAAAAAATAAAATTTGACTTCATTCGAGTAGCCAGTGTGTCATTCATGTGAGTGAGTGAGTGAGTGAACACCAGTACATTGACTGACTGACTGAGTTTGGTTTTACGCCCCTTTTAGCAATATTCCAGCAACATCACGGCGGGGGACACCAGAAATGGGCTTCACACATTGTACACCAGTACATTGCATCTGAAGGCTGAAGACAGTCATAAGTGACACAGATCTCAAACGTTTACCACTTTTGGTGACATCCACAAGCATGGCTACAGTGCAGACAAACACAATCAGGAGCAACCAGGATTCTGTTCTGTGATTACAGGTTTCCAAGGGAAGCAACTCTGCACACCTACCAAATACACACCACAGAAAAAACCTACCTGTCCTGGTTCAGCAGGTGGTTGCTAAGCAGCGTGAAGACGTTCATGACCGTCTCAAGGACCAGTGTAGCTGACGGCGGCAACACCTCATGCTTCCCCTGCGTCACCACGGCGCGGACAATGAAGTTGAGGGTGCGGTTCACCTCCTCCACCTCCATCTGCAGCTTGTCCGCCTCCTGCAACACAAAACAATGATGTTAAACATGCATCATCACATTTGACACCCATCATCGCAAAACTTCAAAGAAATCATCCCAATGTCTAAGACAAATGTTTGAGTGACTTGCTATTTTGTTATTTTGTTCAGTGGTACAGAAAAACCATACCTTCTGTAAACAACAGCAGCATATCACCTGCAATTACCATTATAGTATCTGCTTCACCAACAGTACTATCTACTAGTAACAGGACATTCTTGAAATAATCTCTTACAGCATGGAATTGTAACATTTGTTGCCACTTATATACAGTGGAGTGTGTGAGTGACTTTTTTACGCCGTTTTTAGCAATATTCCAGCAAAATCACGGCGGGGGACTCCAGAAAGGGGCTTCACACATTGTACCCATGTGGGTAGACTAAAAGCTAGTCTCTGAAATGAACATAGTTTACAGAAAATGAAAGTTTTTAAATTAAAATTGTAAATACAATAAAAAGGAGCCCAGGGACTTTCTTCATTTTCTAGACTTGCCACATTTTCTAGACTTGCGTGGGCTTTCTTGGATATATTTGCTTCAGGGTCTGTATGATAGACTACCATGTGGGGAATCAAACCCGGATCTTCGGCGAGACGTGGATGAATATTACACAAAAATGTACTATATCATATCAAATTTACATCGATTAAACTTCCCACGAATCATATGAGCTTCTCAAACAGGTTCAGGTGAATATTGTTCTTTAAATGCCTATATACTATCTCCCCTGCGGCAGATTATCTTCAACCGAAATCATTTCCACGCCTCGAGTTTCAGTACACTGACTTCTGGTTAGATTAATGGTAAAGGAAGTGAACCTGAAAGTCCTGTGAGATAACAGACAAATTCAACACCAGGAAACGGTTATATCTAGGATATGGTATCTGTTACATTTGTGGGAATATCACAAAATAATCAACTAGATTAGAACTGACTGCATGCAAACCAAGGATTCCCAAAGAATTTTGAAGTTTGGCTTGTATAGTGAAACCTATGTAAGTCCACACTGAACTGAATAACCCAGAAACCTTGCCATCCTTGCTGCTACACTTAACATACATTAGCTCAAGCATTATCTAGAAGTTGTTTATCTACGTGATATCTTACAGTGTGAAGTGCACTGGTGTTAAATGAGAATCAAGGCAGAGCACATTGACTATTTCATTTATTCAAAATTCTTTTTTACTACTTAAGTGAATTTTATGTGCTTCCTGGTGAGATGTCTGGCTGTTTCACTTTACCCTTGAGTGAGTGAGTAGGGTTTTACACTGCTTTAAGAATAATTTTAGTCGGGAATAGAACCCCGGGTAAGGTGAGTGAGTGAGTTTAGTTTTATGCTGCTTTTAGCAATATACCAGCAAGAAATTGGATTCACACATTGTACCCATGTGGGGAATCGAATCGGGGTCTGGTGACGAGAGAACACTTATAATATAACCTAAGGCAGAACGCATAAATCAACACTGCTATAACACTGATAGTACTACAATGAATTTATCTGAACAACCGTTTTGTATCTTCCATTTTAACAGAATTTCAAAAAAACTTAAATTCACAGAAAACAGCTGTTTGATTGAGCTGAGGTTAATTAGTGATGTGTCATGTTGTTTTCATTGATTCACAGAAACATGCATCTTCTTGTTTCGTGGCTGGGTACCGTATATGACCGTCTATAAGACGACCCCATGGATAAGACGACCCCCCAACTTGACCCTTAAAATCAGTGTCAAAATGGTATGTTTCGTGCATAAGACGACCCCCCGCGATGGGGTCCTAATCGCGGCAAACCAATAATTATAGCTTTGGCCCACATTATTCAAAGAATTCACTGTCATATATATTGTGTCTACTCACGGATCGAAACGAAGTGTAGTTGACATAAAATGCATAATATAGATTCTCTAAATATCATATTTATTGTAGCAACAAACTGGCTTGCTTATTTTACCCCATTCAACAATCACCAACTGATTACCGCCTCGTTTTCCATTGACTGCTAGTTTACAATAACATTGGTAAAAATGTGTGAATTTAAATTGCTTCCGTATTTTACCCCATTCCATTAATTGCAAATTTGACGTCTCTACTGACAAAGTCGTCTTCTGTTGTTTGTTCACGCGAAGTGATACGATGTTGTTTTCTTACCCCTGGAAAAAAGTTTGACGAAAGCGTAACCCATGGATAAGACGACCCCCTTCTACAGACTGCTTTTTTTGGTCCTCAAAATTCGGCTTATAGACGGTCATATACGGTATAAGGGATTTCTTCTCCGGTTCAGAAATTTATTTTCTTTCAGGTGGGATACTGGTACTTCATCAAGATCACATGAACCACTGAAACCTCAACATTCTGACACGGCAGTAAGATGATGTTTTTATGTCATAAACATCACAAAATCATGCAGTTATATTATTTTAAACATGATAAGTTGAACTCTCTTCTGAATCTGTGCATCTGTGTTGCATACAACTATCAGTTTATCAGGTCGAGCTATTCATACTCCAGAAAGGGCATTATGCAATAAACTTCCAGCATCCTGGCCTGGAAAGTACTATCAGATGGAGATAGCAAGCATTAGTCATCGTGTAGGAGCGTTACAACACGTCACAGTATCGACAGAGTCCAATAACATAAACAATCAGTTGTACTAAACCTCTACCGCCACGCCAGGTGGGACCAACATTGCCGGTTTATATTACCAATGGCAAACGTTGGCTATAAATACATTGTTCCATGGAGGTGCAGTCTGCAGTGCATACCATACACTGATACGGATGTTATACCACTCAACAGTGATTGTGTAACATTGTTCAGACAGCATCCACCAACCAGCCTGTGACTCAGATATAGGCCCTGGGTTAAAGTTATCTTATGCATAAATATATATATCTACCAAAAAATTAAAAACTAAAGCAAATGAAAGTGGAGCCCAGACTGATGAATTTGTTATCGCTTAGGCAGTAGATCTGTCAAGATGTTGTGGACATTAGTTGATTCAAGTCTAATATATGTATATACTCCAGACAATGAGTGCTTTTTTTATTGATTGTTTAATGCTGCACTCATCAATATTCCAGCTATATGGCGGTGGTATGTAAATAATCAAGTCTGGTACAGACAATCCAGTGATCAACATCATGAGCATCAATCTATACAATTGGGTTATGATGAGGTGTTAGGTCCTGATCCTGTTAGGTCGCCTCTTAAGATAAGCATGGATTACTGAAGATCAATTCTAACCTAGATCTTCACGGGTGAGTGAGTGAGTGAGTGTGAGAGTGAGCAAGTGAGCTGGGTTTTAAACCGTTTTGAACAGTATTTAAGTTACATCACTTCATGTCAGTTTAATGTGGAAGTTAAGGCCCAGTAGTATATATCTCCGATGTTTACCACTATGGAGAAAAAACCAATGAGCATGGGCAAGGCACTGACAAACCTACAAACATAATTGGGGTCAGTTGAGATTTGAACCCAGTCGTAGTCCGGGACAGAGTTTCTAACCAACTCCCAAGTGTACTCTTTCTAACTTGGAGCACTCAAATAGATGTATTGGCTGAATTTTCTGAGTACAGGTCGAACGAAAAAACACACAGCATAACGTTATCAGGGTTGACTGAGGTTAATTTGGGTAGCAACATACTGTTTCCTGTACAACTGTTTCAGGACAGTTAACAGTGAAGAGACCTTCACTTGAAAAATCTGAAGACTTCATGGCGTCATAATAGACAAAATGCAAATTTAGGACAGTGATCGAATAGAATATTCACAAGAATCATTAAACTATCAATGGAATTTTAATAGAAAAGTTTAAAACCACATTTAAAATGAAACACAAACATGAACGCACTAGTTTGATGAAAAACTCACAAGGAGAAACAGGAAGTACATGTACTTGAGTTCAAAAGTGAATTTACTGTTGGCACTTTTTTACTAATTGTTAAAGGAAAATGTTCTTAATGAGGCTTCCTCTATGTTGAAGGCATCGAGTTCAAATACCCCCCCCAAGTTAACTTACAACTGCAAATGACTAAACTATGGACAAGCTGAGATCAAACCACAAGGCCATGATGATTTACATAATGTCAAACATAATTCTGATGACACACAAATTTAAAGTACAAGTTATATTGTGGTGAATGTTCATTGTAATAGTTGTATGACTCATAGTATGAGCAACTAAACCAGCATTATATTAGAGAAGAAGAGACGTAATGTATTGCCTATATTTAGTCAGAATGGGGTATTGGAAATTACAAAAAAAATCCCAATATGATTAAACATTTCCCGATTCCTCAGAAATAACAAACACCAGAACATTAACGTATTTCAGATATGACCAATATTACCGATTATCTTTACTTGCCAAAGACTTTTAGTATGTAATCCTAGATAAATCCCGGAATTGTACTTCAACTTTTCATTGATAAGGGTTAAGGAATCTGTAAACTACTTCTAAAAGATCTTTAACTATAACATGTAGAACATCAAAATAATTCGACTTGATTATCTGCAGAAACAGGTTCAAATGAGTGTATCTGCTAAAAGATTATAAAAATAGAATGAATAAATCTTCTTCAAAAGAAGTTAAAAAACACCCAATTATTTCATAATGTAAAATTATACATAAACTGTTGTAATATGAAATAATCGAGTGTTCTTAACTCCTTTGGTCAAGAATATTTGATATAATACCTCACACTAAGATATTAACATTATGGCATGAAGTACTGGTAATCAAATGAACCAAAACTTTATGGAATAGTGCCAGTCCTGCAAAATACTGCATCTTGGGAACTTTCCTTGTTTCAGCAATAAACTTTGGTCCACAGCATGTTTCAGAAACAACAAACATTATTCAAATCAGATGTTCATTATCTCTGATGCTAAAGATATATAAGCATCTATGACGTACACATCATATTCTTATTGCAGTCCGTGGAATGAGAGGAATATTTACCTTGCGTTTGGGTTGTGCTGCCAC